TCTTCTCTTGCACTTTTTTGCTTTCTTTTTTGCTTTCTCTTTTTATTCCTTACTTTATATTACTTTTTATGAGTGTAGTTTGGGTGTGTTTGTATAGGATTTTAATTCAAAAAATAAATTAAAAATGCACCCCAGGGATAGAAGTTTGCTTCTTGATGGAAGGAGCCCAGCTTTTAAGGTATCCAACCCATGAAGCTTTTCAACATTATAGGAGGTCAGCTCACTTATCAACTATAATTGCATCTTTAACTGAAGAATTTAGCCAAAAAGGGTTTCAGGAGAGTATGGTTTAGCAAACGACTGCAGAGGCCTTAGAGTTGGCTGAATTTCCTCTTAGGCCTTGTGCACAACCTCCCCAACTTCATCCTGAAGTTCTTGAAAGACACCTCCATATCATGCAGCCTTTCCTCACCCCCAATCCTTAGCTAATGTGTTTTTTTCCTCTCAAAATGAAGCCTTCTCATCTGCAGGATGTAGGGTGATTCAGCTGCAATTGAGCTGACAGTGCAATACCAAGTGGGATCTGCCCAGCTCCTATAAACTGTTTTCAGCTGCTGGGGGCACACTCCACTCCCCGCAGTCATCCACAGAGGGTAGGGGCTGACAAACAGGATGCCTGGTTTTATGACGCTTTGAAGTAATGTTTACTCTTCCCTCCCATATCCTCTGTGTAACATGGGTTGGCAGATTGCGCAGAGGAGCAACACTTGTTGATGGGAGAGTATCCTTTTGTTTCAACCAGTTTCATCCACCAGTGCAGTGTGTTAGCTTGTTACATGGGGGATCTGAGAGGACAGAGCAGTTTGGAGAACCAGAGGAGCAAATACCACCTCGGACTGGAGATTTACAGTATCTTTCCCCTGCTGCATTAACCAAGCCATGCCCACAGAACCAGTAGTAAAAAAATTTGAATCCCACTACTGGGACAGAGTATAATGGAAGTCATACTTTCACCTCTCAGATAGGCAGTATTGCTATCATCCTACTCTCATGGATCAGGTAGTCACTGCAGGTAATCGAGGGATGGGTAGGGTCTTATCAGTAAGGCAAAAGCAGAAGTCCCCCAGCCACCCCATTGGTCAGGCTCTAACAGACTACTAAACCCACGACTCTAGCCATCTGGCAGAACTTCCCTCCTCATCAGCTTTCAGGAAAGTTTTTCTTGCCAACAGGGTAACATATCAATCATGCACCTCCACTTTGCTGCAATAAACTGTTAAGACCTCAGCCCTCAGGCTTTCATTCATGAAGCAGTTGTTACTAAGGGTTATGGGGACAGATCAAGTTTGTTATGGGATATCGCTTTATAAAGCCTCAGTAAGAGCACACCTGCATCCAGTTTTGGTCACCACATCACAAAAAAAAAAATATGTTGAGACTTTGGGAAGAGTGCAAAGAAGAGCAACTAAGACGATGAAAGGCCTGGAGTCTAAAACATATGAAGAACGTTTGCAGGATTTGGGTTTGACTAGTCTAGAGAAAAGAAGGAGTCGGGGGACGTGATAGCAGGATTGCAGTATTTGAGAGACTGCCTCAAAGAGGAGGAGGTCAACTTATTTTCCAAAGCATCAGTGGGCAGGACAAGAAACAATGGACGGAAACTAAACAAGGAGAGAAGCAACCTTTGGAATTGAGGAGAAACTTCGTAACAGTGAGTACAATTAACCAATGGAACAGCTTGCCTTCAGAAGCTGTGGATGCTTCTTCACTGAAGGTTTTTGAGAAGAAACTGGACAGTCACTTGTCTGAAATGGTATAGGGCAGGGATGTTTCCTGCTTGAGCAGGGGGCTGGACTAGAAGACCTCCAAGGGCTCTTTCAGTCCTGTTCTGATTCAGGATTCATATGAAACCAGCTGTCTAGAAGTGCTTTTAGATATTCCTTTTAGAAATGTTATTTCTAAAAGTGTTATTTGGAGAGATGGTGAAGAGGGGAAAAGAAAACTAAGCTGACAAAGGCACATTTTGGGAGAACAGTCCTGAGAAAAACAAGGAAAAAAAAATCATGAGGACAAAAAAACCATCATTTTCCAATCCTGTTTTGGCTATGATTTCTGAAGCTTCCCTTCCTTGCAGCTGGTGTGGCCTGTCTTCAATAAATGCATCCTGTATATTCCAGACTTAGGAATTTGTGTTTTAAACTCAGGAACTTTAAAAAGCATTAATTTTTCTTATAACATAGGATACACTTGCTCAGCATTGAATAATTAAAGGAATACTCCATTGCCACTTAATTGGATAATGTCTCGTTTTCTTGAAAGCTGGAAATAGATAACCATAAGGACATATTTGAAAGCATCCACTGGACACATGTTTTAAAAAATGCAAGTATGCACAAGTCCTTCCATTTGGAAGGGATGCTGTCATCTCTGTTGGGTCTCAGCCACTTGTCGGAGCCAAAGAGGAAAGCAATCTCTTACAAATGGCTCTAGGAATGTTTTTCATGCCACGCATTTAGGGAGAGGCAGATAGCAATTAAAGCTGATCAGCTTATAGCTATAAATCTAGGTACTTTTCTGATGTGCAGAAACCTGCTGGAATTTTCCTAAAGATGTGTCTCATTTCTATTAAAAAAAAGTGTGTGGATGTGTGTGTGGGTGCGTGGGGAGTACAATTTTGAAACTGTCTGTCATGAAGAATTAATTCAGTCTTTGGGTTCTCCTGGGATGCTGAAGCACCTCTTTTTTTCAAGCTATTTTCCAACTTTAATTGGAAATACTATAGCCAGTTCCTGAAGATGTGTTGGTCTGTAGATCCAACAATTCCCAGTCAGCATGGTAGGCAGGAGCTCTGCGTAATGGTAATGTTTATACTCCATTTTCTGAACTCTTCCTTTATACCCTAAGTGCCACAGAAATAACACTGCCTAGGTGGAGAAGATGTCTCTGACCAGAATTACCTTGAAAAGCTAAGCAAAGTCACATATAGAAAATATTTGGATACAAGACAATCAGGAATTGGGAAGTTAAAAAAAAAAATCTTAGCAGAAAGCAGTGGCAAAACATTTAATATTGACAACAAAACTAGATGGGCACTTACTGAATCCTGAGCCCAATTAAAAGGAGACCTGAATACAGTGTGATTAAATAGCTACTGACATCTATTAAAATATGTAACTAATAACATGTAGAGATGAGGAAGGTGTCCAGTGCTGACCAGTCCAATCCTTTTACATGAGTATATTCTCTGCATGTGGCACCTATCTGGGAGTGACTCGTGTTCTAGCACTGTCTTGTGTGAGCATTCATGTTTATATTGCAACTCTCATGTAGACACCTTTTTATAGCCTGCTAAAAGAATTACTTCAAAGAAGCCCCGAAGGAATGAAATCAACTAGCTGATCCTTCCCCATATGATGATACATGAAAGTAATGGTTCTTGAATTCAAAAGGACAGGAAGAAGATGGCCAACTAGCTACTTAGGTGGGTCTCTACTAAGGATGGCTGAAGTTCCCAAAGGAACTTCATTAGACTTTTTGAAAGAAATATATTAGCAGTGGTCATATTGATATTATCTAAGAAGTCATCTCTGGACCCCCTCAGTATTAAATAACTTTTGCCCAGTATCTAAAAGTCATGTACTGGAAATAAAAGATGATATGTACATATTTTGATTTTTAATAATAATTGTACTGAAGATTGCAGTAGTACAATGAAAACTAATACAAATTACAAAAATAAAATGAAAAAAATGAAATGTGCAGAGAGAGAAAGAGAAAAAATAGAACAGAAAATAGTAGAACTATAATAGTGAAAGTATAACAAACAAAAAGAAATATAGTATATAAAGAAAGACTTCCCTATCACAAAAGTATAAACAATTTTAAGAACTTATCACCTTCTCTTAAAATACAGCAGATGATCTTTTACCTATGAACAGATCCTTCAAACCTCCTCATTTAGTCTTGATCAGCAAAAATCCATGAAGGGTTATCAGAAATAACAAGATATCAGTTTTAACCTTGATCAAATAAATCCACTTTATATTATTTCCTTTTATTTTTAACAGTCTTGATTTTTAATCCCTTCAAATCATGTCCTAGACTTTGTTTAGTTTTCATTTTTTTTCTTTGTCCCTTTTCACAAATCCTTCAGAACTTTGAAAAGTCTCTTCTGTAAATCCAGTACAGGAGAGTCATCCAAATCATTCTTTTGGTTTGCCTTTTGTGTATCCCTTGTAATTATTAAGACATTAGCTGGTTTCATTTGCAAATCCAGTATAGTATCTTTATTCTTAAAGCTTGTCATTTTTGAATCCACTTTCAAATTGGTCTCAATCTTGTCCAGTAAAACTTGTTCCTCTTCCATAACATCCTTTAAACATAGTTTATCTATAGAGGCAGATATTCCTAAAATTAATTTTTGGATCCAGTATTCAAAAATATCCTCCAACACATCCAATATTAAAGTGACTTGCTCCATTCTGTGTAAGACAAATTAAATATTCTTCCTCTTTCATTGTAATCTTTATTTCCTTTTGGTTTCTTGTAGTCTCCTGAGATCAAATTGTTCTATCATGTCTTCTTTAAAGAAGTCAAAACAACAGCCTTTTCTAATGTTACCCAGAGAGGTTTGGCTGGCCATAAAAACTATATCTGGTCACCAATTTCACTGCAATGTCGCCTCTACTCTTTTAGAGATGTGTAATTTGTCACGTCTCTACCAGAAGTCCTCAGTATGTACATACTTTGAATGAGTGTAAGTCAGAATTGCACTGTCAATATATAAAACTAGATTTCAGCAGCCTGCAAGTTTTTGCTCACTAGCTTCTTTCAGGACACTGTGAAGCTAGAATTTCTATAGGAACACTCTTAAAAGCTCTACTACCAGTTCTGGAACAGAACTAGTGACGTGTGGCTTGTATAATGCATACCTTATTACTTTCTTTTTAAAATTTATCCTGCTAGAATTCAAATTAAGTCTCTTGAAATGTGTTCTTAGTTATATCTTGTTCACCATGTTAACCTACAATCCTGTCTAAGAAGAAAGTTTCAAAATGCACCTGATTATCAGTGCTTCCATTAGGAAATCCATCTCATCCTGCTCTGAGGAGATTTCTGGCAAGGTCTGTAAAAATGAAAAAGAAAAACATGAATCCAATTGCAAAGGAAGTTTACTAGCAGGAGAAAATGGGAAGGCAGAACTCTAGTTTATTGAAACAACACTTTGGTTGTATTTAATTTATGCTGCTTCTCACCCGAAAACTAACAAAGTTGAAACTCAATTGAAACCCAATGGTTTGACTAAATCATTTAAAACAAATCCTGAAAACATGATTATAGAATTGATGTCAACTAAACGCTCCTGATATGGAAGATATAACACACAGAGATGTTCATTATTTGCCACCATTTACCTTCCAATTCAGAGCACAATGGTACAAATATAGGAGTAATTAAAGGGGGAAAACAGAGTTGAATGGGAATAGAGAGGATCTTTTTGCTGATGCCATCCTGATTTGGAAATGTCCTCCTTAAATAATTCATTAGCATTACTTTTTATATCTTTTTGATGTCAGATAAGCATGCCCTGTTTATTTATACTTTTTATCAAACATACTCATCAGTTTTAATCGCTTCTGTTCTTTTAACTGTTTAGGAAAGCGGATATTGCATTTTGGTGCACTGTGCTATGGTTATTTGTAAGATGCTCAGATGTTTGTAATAATGGAAACATCAGACAACATTTCAGAAATAAAAAAACCATAAAGAGAATGTAAAAGTGTCATGCCCCTGGTGGAGACTGACTCTGAGGGAGAGGAGGAACAGCCGACAGGGAGTGGAAGTGTGGCTCCGAAGGTTGTGGAGGAGGCTGGGGAAGGGCAGAGGCCGGCTGGGAAGTCAGAGAAGGACCCAGGCCCATCCCCTATCCATCCTAGGGCAGAGACATAGTCTACTGGGGAGGAGAGGGCCTTGATCCTCTTCATGGGCTGCAGATGTGACAACTGGATAAGAGGATGGACATGCGTACGGGTGAGTGCTGGAAAGAAAGTGTGGAAATATCTCTAGTTTATTGTTCCTCTCTAAGTTTGGCGTCCTTCCCAGTGTGTATTCTGATATCTGTGGACATCTTCAAGCTCTTATCTTGCCTGGTTTGTGTTGTTTTTTACTCTTTATAATTTAAATGGCATTTCTTCCTTCTTGTAACTGCTTGTGTAGGAATTTTTGGTCTCCAGTCAAGGATATTTGGAGTTTGGAAGCAAAATGAAGGAATAAAAGGAGCTTCACCTGTTTTTTGTCACTGTGTTTATTTTGTATCCCACCCTGGGTCATCACAAAAAGTCATTAGTTGTGATGATAGGTAGTACTGTCTAGCTAAGCATAATTGGTCTTGAAAAAACTAAGAAGGATCAGATATGGTTAGTTCTTAGATAAGACATTTTCCATGAAATCTGACTACTAAAGGCCACTATAGAAAGTTTTGAAAAATCCCAGAAGAAGGCAATAGGTACCCAGCAACATGGATGCGTCCATGAAGTTATCAAGAGTCAAACTTAGCTAATATTAGCTGAAGTCACTAACCTTGATAGCCACCTGTAGAGGACTGGAATCTCCTGTGATTCCTACCACTGTTCCTTTGTAAACTTCACCAAATGCCCCATGTCCAAGTTCCCTAAAGGGAGTGAGAAAACAAAAATGCACATTCACTTACTTTCTGTATCTACACCAAGCAAACACTTCTGACTACAAAAAGTTGAAAGCTCCAGGAACCATTGGAAATGTCAATTATATTATGTGTGTGTGTGTGTGTGTGTGTGTGTGTGTGCATGCACATGTGTATCAAGCATTGTTGACAAAACATGCATGCAGATAGCAGTAGCTTTTCATTAGCGTTTTCCCACAAAACAATTGCTTGGATTTAGAGCTCTCTCACTGAATTCAGGCTTTCTTTCCCGCACTACAATTAAAATTGTATGTCCAAATGCTAGCAAGAGCACAGTGCAGCTAAATCTTACTGAAGTAGAGAAATATTCTTTCGTGGAATCTCTTTTAGTTCACTGAAAGTGGCCGTCTTTCCTGCAAAGCTGTAGTTGGGGTTATAATCTGTCATGATGGTAGAAGTACGGATTTTGCTTAGGTTATAATCTGGATTCTGTAGATGGGATCTGGTTCCTTCTGGCATCTTTTTCTTTCGATGATAAACTGAAAAGAAAACATGAATGAGAATCTGAGAAGAAAAGAGAAGAAATTAAGCCATGTGGACGACAGATATAATAACATTCCAGAATGTTTGTCTCAAATTTTTTAGACTTACTTCTCTGTTAGTATTTTTAAATTTTGTTAATATTTTTTTTTGCAGAATTGTGTTAGCTTTTTTAACTGATCAGGCAACATACAAACATTTTTAGACTGTGACCTGGTCAAGAGCAGATAGTCATATTGGTGAAAGGAATAACCCCAATATTACACTTTTTAATAGTTCTAATTCTTCAGTAAACTGTGGATTCGTGGTTGCTTAAGAAATTGGTATAATATGGTATAATGGCAAGCTTCAAAATACAAACCTTTTCCTATCAGGGTGAAGCAAAAAATTCAGGGAAAAAACCCACATTGTATTCAACATTTAGCCTTCACAAACAGAACTCTCAGGGGTGACTTGAAAGGGGACTGTGAAGCAGATGGTAGATTAAATATACCACACAGAAATACATACAACGCTGCAAATGGATTTAAACATTAAGTAGCTCCTTTTAGAAGAAAAGCATGTTTGCTTATTTAATCAGAAAGCTCTTCTAAAACATTTGCCTAGGCTTGAAAGCCAAAGATGAGATTTTAACTACAGATGAATTATTTCCCTTACTCATCAAAAAAAGACTGTAAGATGAAAAACCCATCAGTGTGAAACATACAAAGAGAGAAAAAGAGACACAGACACAAATATTATATATCATAGCTATTGTCTTACTAACTTCTATGTCCACTGAAATGTTGAATCTCTTTGGATTAGTTGGAAAATCAAACCATGTTTCCCCACATGGTTTTGAATGACATTCATCCCAAATGGAGTAATAAAGTATCACCTTGATTCACTGGACATTTTATAATATTAAAATAAAAAACAAGGCAATTTTTTAAAATTACCCTCTGCATGATGCAATGAATAACATCTCCTGGATCCATATCAAAATGCATGATATAAAGCCAACTATTTTGGCATATAAAACAGGAAATCCCATTAGTATCATCTCTTAGAATGAAAATGTAGAAATTACAAAGTAAATAACTAGTCATGTTCTGTCCTTCCGTGATACTTAACATAGTGCTTTAAATAGCCAACTTGTCTAACATCACAACTGTCCTATTCACACTAACAAACTGTGAACAAATCAGGAAACTTCACATGCTTTTAATTATTCCATTCCCTTGTTTCAAACAAAATGTTTAATGTGTAAGTCTATCTTTGGTCAATCAATTTAGTGTTTTAGGAATCCTTAGTTCATTATTACTTTTTAAAAATCTAGTAGTTCAATGAGACAGTAGCTCCGTGTGAAAGCAAGCTGATCATGCTCCTTTGAAGTGTTCACCTTATTCTCCCACAATCATGATGGGTGGATCCAAACATGTTTTCAAACATGAAAAGAATTGAGATCCAGTGGGAACCTCCTATTGGTGGAAGAAGATAGATTTTCTTCATTCTGATTCTTTTTATGCATACACTCCCACTATCTCCATTGTGGTTCTAATGGTTCTCTGAAGAAACTTTTTAAAAAGCCACAGCAATCTGCACAGAAAGGAAAAATCTACAAAACTGCCCGTCATCGCAGTCCTCATCCTCTAACACAAACAAAACATTATTAAGTACTAATCTGTATTCAAAGCACTATTTATTGTACAGACCCCATCTCTAGTTTTTCAACCTTCCTTCCCAAGATCCTACATAAATCCTTGAAAAGGGCCAGAGATGTGAACAAATGAATTCAGATATGCACAAAATATAGCAGATGCAACTTACCAATTGATAGGCTACCACAAGTGAGAATCACAACAAGCACCACAATCACAGCAATCACTGTCAAGAGGAATGGAAGAGGCAAGTGCTCTTCTGGAATCAGTTCCCGGATAACTAGACAAAACACGATATGTAAACATTTAGATTTCAGTTTAGGATTTTAAACAGGGTTTCTTAAAAAGCTCAAGCGCAAGATTAGAGCAAGAGTCTAGTCCAGTAATTCCTTTCCACCCTAACATCTAAGAAGAAGTTCATAAACAGAATGTAGCCAATTCCTTGTGATAGAAAACTGAAAGAAGAAAAACTGGGAGCAAAATTGTGTTCCCAAATTACTAGATATAATGTAGAGAGGACAAGGATGGGCTGTAGATGAACTAACAATAGTATAAATAAATTTATAAATTAATTATAATAAATAATTATTTATTATGCTGTAGTATTTTATAATAAATTAATAAAATTGAGTTTGTCTAGTTTAGGGAAAAGAAGGACTTGGGGTGACATGATAGCAGTGTTCCAATATTTGAGGAGCTGTCACACAGAAGAAGGGGTCAACTTATTTTCCAAAGCACCAGAAGGCAAGGCAAGAAACAATGGGTGGAAACTAATCAAGGAGAGAAGCAAACTAGAACAAAGGAGAAATTTCATGACAGTGAGAACAATTGACTAGTGGAATGGCTTGCATTCAGAACTTGTGCATGCCCCATCACTGGAGGTTTTTAAGAAAAGATGGAAAGTCTGAAGTGGTATAAGATCGCCTGCTTGAACAGGGAGTTGGACTAGAAGACCTCTAAAGTCCCTTTCAAGTGGCAGGGCTGGCAAGAAAGGGGTTGGGAAGGGAGGGGAGGGAGAAGGGAACCGGCATTACAGCAGGGCAGCTGATGACTCCTACCCAGTAAAGCAGATGAGCTTCCAGGATGTGTTGGTCTAACCCAAGTATCAAAATAAAGGTCTATTTGCTATTAATAGTTGTTACTTTTAAAGTTTAGATGCTACCGCTTCAGAGCCACAAGTAGCTTACAACAGTTAGAATGCAACAATACAGAATCACACTCTCTCTCAACCCAATTGACCTCACAGGGTTTGTTTTTGTGGGGAAAATAGGAGGTGGAAAGTGTGCTGGATATATTCACTGCCTTCAGGTATTTGTAAAAATAATAAAGGCAGGATATAAATAAAAAATACGGTCATTTGTTGAGATAGCTTTCCATTTATATTAAATAAAATAATAATAAATACATATAACAAAACATAAATAAAATGAATAGTTTAGTGTATAATTTTAGAGGAAAAGGGATGACTGGTCATTGCTTCTTTGATCTGATCCCGGTGAAGCTTGGGGAAAGCAAGAAATAGAACTTTTCGTTTGCAAGCTCTTTTTCATATTTTACCTGTGCAGGAAACGTTGTCATTAGCCAAGATGGCCCCAGCTGCACAAATGCAGATAGCTAGGTGACTGCCAGCCTGTTGCTTGCAGATACCTGATTGACAATGGCTGCAATTCACATAGACTTCAATGACTACTTCACCGTGACTTTCCATAACTAAAGGAGGAAAAGAAGGAAAAGATGGAAATTATAGTTCAAATGTTTCTGAAAGGAAGGAAGGAAGAAGGGGCATTTCCTCAGTAGATCTTCTATCTATATGTTTTTTCCAATCATAAGTATCTTTTGCCGACTATCTGATAAATAATAAGCACATATCTTGAAGGCTACAGAAGAATATCTTTTCAAAGCAGAACCAACTATGGTAGGCAAACACATTAGTTTCGATTAGTGACTATATAAGCTATCAATCAGTAGAATAGGCTGCCACATAGTGGGGTTTATTTAAATATTGTCAAACAATGGTTGGTCATTTGCCACGGATACTTTAGCATACTTTTTCAACTTCAGCATCGTAAAAATGTTTGAATTTCAGGTACTAGAATTCCTTAGCCAGCCTGCCATACTGGCTTTCCAGTATGATTTGAACAGGGGGGAAAAAGCTTGTGGCCTCTTAAATATGAATATATTAATTACAGCAGTAAGTTTCATTAACTGAAGAGCATTCTAAAGTGCATTCTAATTGAAAAAAAATCCATGCCATGCACAAACCTTTAGTCATTAAGTATGGAATTCTACCTTATTTTTATTAAATCAAGAAGTGTATGTTCCCAACCCAGGGAAAATATATTTACTATGGAAAATAATTCCAATTCTGGAGCTTTTGTGCATGCCAGCACTTGCTGCTGTCAGAACTGCCACATTGACACAAAACTGCATAAACAGCTTCTGGGGTGACTGAATTTGAACTTCATACATGCTGTGACGTGTTAATGTGTCAGAAGAACTGAAAACATTTTTAATCTGTTTGGAAAATGCCATCAAAAATGATTCTATTATATTGATATAGTAGAGTTCACAGATAAAGGGCATCATTCTTATGTGGTGTGGAATTTCCATGCTTCCCTTAATCTTCCTAATCCCCCCTTTGTCCTGAGAGTGGATACGAAAGGAACATGTGAATGAAACAATATACTGGAGGGACAAGATAAATGATAAGGTCCATATCACTGTGGGGCTATATCTGACCTGCCAGAGGGCTCAAGAAGATCTCCCCAATTGGGTTCACAAAGGAAACACCATGCTGCCCATCAGCTGTAATGTCATCTTTTTCAGAAGCATGTCCACCTATAAAAAGAACCAAGAGACATATTTAGCAGGCTACAGGGATCCATAGGTTGTCTAGTTGCCAAGTGAGCCAAACTAAAATCTTTAAATTTCAATGTTAGAATCACATTGCTGTTTTTTTCTCCTGAAATTTGTGCTGCAAATAGTTTTTATTCTATGGTTCTGAACAGGTTTTAGTAGAATGTCGTGCCTTCATTCTAAATGTGCTATTTGAGTTCCTGGAGAAATGTGGCAAATACATATTCAGATTTGCTACACCCTCAAGTTTTTATGGGTTTCACTTTCTCAAATGATAAAACATTACTGGGAATATGCTCCTAGCAGTTTAACAGAAATGGAAAATACATCGGCTATGAATGCAAGTATACATTGTTTACTTTGACACTATCAATGATGAGAACTAAATTTGTAGAGATAGATAATGTTCTACAGGTTGATAAGATAATATGAAATCATATTTTTTTAGATATAACTCTCTCCAGTTCTTTTTTATAGTGGATGTCCTGGACATGGGGCAACACAATAATTTTGGAACAAAATGAAGGTTCCACCTGATATAAACTAAGCTTTATACCTTTGTAGCCTCCCCCTCCACCACCAGATGTACAGGCTCCTCCTCCACCACCAAAACCACCAGAAGTGGCCCACTGGAGTTTCTCTAATGCTTGTTGGCAGGCCTCACCACCTTCTCCACTTTCCAGAAGTGATTTTCCAGCCCAGGGATACTGGGCAATACCTTCCCAACCACCACCTCCACCTGTACAATTTGAAGAGAAAGATAACAATATTCACAGATAGAAATTGCACATCAGTTAGAACTCATAAATAGATACAAATGCATATACATTAAAAAAAACAAATTAATAAACATTAATGTAAACACCTATAACCTATTTCCAATATTTTGCTACTGCACAATCTCTGTGCCATAAATTATGGGGTTCCATTTGTTGGAAAACTATCAGCTAGGCAAGAAGGAGGGATCAAATGGGGAATTAGCCTTGAGTCTTTGTGCAGCTGCAGGAGACTTAGGGCTGACCTCTCCTAAATTCCATGGGACCTTATCTGTCCCAAGAGAAGTCAGGCAGTCTGGGGAGAGTCTTATATTATAGGTAGAATATAATAAAATAGTCAACTTGAACCTTTTACATGTAGATCAGGTTGCTTGCACCTGATACGATTAAAGGAATGAAAAAAATATAGTTTACATTCAGGGGTGGGATTCAAAAATCCCAACAACCGGTTCTTTGCCTGGTTGCTGGGTTGGCGTGGCTATAGTGGGCGTGGCTTACCAGAACTTCCAGGAGGGCCATTTTTCACCTTCCCCAGAGTCCGGAGTCTTCCCTTGGGCCTCTGGGAAGGCAAAAACAGTCTCCACCCCGGGCTCCAGAAGGTCTCCAGAAGCCAGAAACAGGCCCATTTCTGGACTTCTGGAAGGGTCATTTTTTACCCTCTAGATTTAACATCCGGTTCACCCAAACTGGCCCAAACCAGCTGAGTCCCTATCCCTGTCTCTCTTTCTCTCCCTCCCCCACATACATTATATATAATATAGAAATGTAAACTACACACACACATACACACGTGTGTGTGTGATATATAATTATTTTTAACTTAGTTTTCCAATTATTACCCAACTTATTAATTTCCATGCCTAAAACTTTCATATATTACCTCTATAGTCCATGAAAGTTTTAGGTAGGGCTATTGTTCCTTAAGGCTACTACATCTAGGTTGCACCTATCTGAATGACCAATAAAGGCACTAAAAAGTTTTTTATTTGATATCTGTATATGGGTATGGGTATCCATCTGATGCCATATCACAATCAATTGGATTTTATAATGTAGATTATAGTGGGCCTAGTTGCTCCTCCAATTTCCAGTGCCAAACATCAACAATCATGAAGATTGCGAAGCATTCAAATGGGCCTTCCTTGAATCTACTTCCAAGAACATTTTTTAAAGCTTAATTCTTTTTTTGGACAACTGCTGTTATGCTGGTCAGGGTCAATCATCTTTCCCCAGTGCTACAAGCATCAGAAAATCCCAACGTAGCAAGCTAAATTGCACATTACCAAGGATAATAAAGCATAGGAAAATAAACATAACTTTACAAAGTTATTTTTCTAAGTTTCCTTGCAATCTAATTTGAGGAATTTTCTGACAGAGAGGGAAGAGTTCATATCTAGTTCCCTGTGTGCTGTGATGGCCCCTGAATATTTTCTTTCTCATACAAAGCTAAAGAAATGCTTTCTTTGGTGCTGAAGGAAGCTTTTTTTCTAAGTTTAATTGCCCAGTGAGGAGAGAAATTTTCAGGACAGTGACAAAGAACAGAAAACTTGGGTGAGTATATCAATGGTCTGAAAAAGAATTGTACACATGGAGAACAATCGATGCCTTGGACTTCATTTGGAAAATTCTCTCCTAGGCATTGCATTCAGGGGTAATGAGCAAGACATTCTCTCTTGACCCAACCTACTTCATAGGGCAAAAATTAGGGGGATGCATAAAAACAGCTAAGATACCAGGATTTTCACCAACAAAGAATGGCAAACTGGAAACCTTCTTGGGCATGCACAAACACAAAAGTTGGCAACCAATTTGGGAAAAGAGCTGGAAATAATGCCAAGAGGAAATTTCAGAGTTAAATGGAAAAGACAATGACAATAAAAAGAACTCACGAGCATCTCAAAGGCTACTAAGCATAACTATTTTTGCAAAAGTTTTCAGATTATGAAAAATATTGCATGCATTTGCACGTATTGTAACCCACAAATAAATCTTAGCCTTCATACAGCACACTTCAAATGCTTAACATTCAGTCTTTGTATTTTTTTAAGTGTTTCAAGCGAGGCCCCAAGATGACAATAAGTTCTAACTGGCCTAAGTTTGCATCTACAAATGTAAAATTAGCATACAGTATATAAGGGTCATGCTAATTCATTTCCTGCGAAGTATCTTCACTTTAGATAATTATACAACAGATGTTGTTTGCTCAGCTGCTGGCCCCTTATCAAGAGCAGATCCTCACCTGCTGCTCCAGTTCTCCCATTGACCCCAGGTATGGCTGAGCTGTTCACATACTGTTCCAAGAACGCATCGTCCAGGGAGCTCTCTTGCGCCTTCAGATAAGCCTTTCCTCCACCCCCTGCCGCAACAAGCAAAGGTTCAAAAGCTCCATCCTTCTGCTGCTCAAGAAATCACACACACACATACACACACACAAGGAAGCATTAAGGAAACATCAAAGGTTCAAAGTCAAGCACCAAACAAAATAAAAGCCCAAACAGAAATAAAAACTCCGACTGGAATAGCTGACATTCTTTGGCCGCGAGAGGCAAGCAGTGTTGCCAGTAACTCTTGAACCATCTTACGCCCGCCTCTAAAATCAGATTGCGTAATTTCAAGTTTTCCAGAGCAAAGTTTAGGAAGGGCTAGGAAAAGTGATGGCCTCTCGGCTGTTGTGGGACCAACATTTGTTTGATCTGGCTTAAAATATTCTCCCTTTCTGAGGAACTCTAACAACATTAAAGGCCCTAAAGTTCCATACTGAACATCTATGGAGATTCTCAGTCATCCAGGTCATGGTTGTCCCCAAAGTGCTTTTTTCCCCAAGAGACAGCTGGACTTTCTGGTTTTTCTTTGAAGTCCTTACCACTCAGGTGACCCTGATGATACAGATAAACCTCCAGGTGGCCTTAATGACTTGCTAAAAGAAAGCAACTGACCAGCTGTCTGCAAGGAGTATAAATCCTTCCATTCCCCACCATCCAATCGGAGCCGAAGAAGCTTCTTGGATGAAAAGTGAAATATCTTCAACAAAAAACCAGGCAGTTCCAGTTGCCTCTTGGAAAAAAGCACCTTTGGGACGTCCATACTGAACATACCTCAGCATTTTAGCAAACCACCCCAGAAATCTTTGAAGGACCTTGCCAATGAAACTGGTATGCTACCAATTGCCTCTATACTTTTTGAACAGCAATGATTATGATGCAAACCATTCAAAATGAAGAAAAGGACAAAAAAAGGAAAAAGGCAGTAACAGACACAATGTTAATTCAGGGATCATTTGTAATTCAAATTGTCTTGGGCTGCATGGTGGAGTTTCAATCCGGGGCCATATCATTTATCAGCTGCTAAGCATTCCAGCAATGAACATTTTGATATTCCCCCTGTTGCAATGACTCTCTCCATTGTCTAGAGCAGTGGTTTCCAACCAATGGGTTGGGGACCAATGGTGGTCCATGAGAAAATTTTGGTGGTCCTCAGAGAAATGTGATCCCCAAAGCACCCCCTAAAGCAATTAATCCAAGCTGCATGGGAACACAAGGCTTGTGTTGCTTGCATTGCGAACAACACGAGGTAGTGAGGGGAGGGGGGAAAGGGCGGAGGGGAGGAACTTGCCCCACTCGCCCCATGTGCCTGGCCTGGCCACCCGGCTGCTTCTTTCTGCTTCTTTCTTCTGTTTTTGGCTGCACAGAAGGAAAACAGCAAAACTCTTCCTTTCTTTCCCCCAAACTCTGCCAGAAATGAGTCTTTGTGATCCTGCAATCCTGTTCCAAGAGGCTGCGCCGGCAAAGACTCATTTCTGGCAGAGTTTGGGGGAGAGAAAGAAAGACTTCAGCTGCTTCTGCTGCTTTCCTTGCATGAGCCAAAAGTCTCTCTCTCCCTCTGAGAATGGAGCTGGAGACAGTATCCTGCAATCCCAAATAAAGAACGATCGATCGGTAGGAAAACGGAGTGGGAAATTTTCCTGCAGACTTTTTGGGGGATTTTCCCAGGGTCTCTAGTCCGCGAGATTTAAAATTATGAGTTTGGTGGTCCCTGAGGTTTAAAAGGTTGGCAACCCCTGGTCTAGAGCTCCATCTTGTTTGTGCCACCATGTTTAAATATTCTCCAGATGGGAAGCTGCTTCAACTGGCCCTTAAATATTGCTAACTATAGCTAGCTATTGCTAAATAATTGCTAGTGGTCCTTAGCAACTGCTTGCAAAAGAACATGAACACTTACTCGAAACACATAGGTGGCTCCTCCGCCCCCTCCCCCTCCTCCAGCCCATTTGGTCAGTCCCTGAGCTTTTTTGTATTCTTCTTCAATTTCTGAAGATTCCCCCAGGCAAATCTGCTTAGTGTGATAGTTAATCTGAAAGAGAAGAAAAAGAATTAAAATCTGAAGAACATTTTTATTTACATCCACAGACAGCTGAAAATCTTTCTCCATGAATCTTTGATTTATTTGGTGGATAGATTTAGATTTTGCCCTTATTCAGGGAGCTCAATGAAATAGTTCTGGAAGTCATTTTTTTTTAGTTGTATCACAATGCCATGCTGAGCTATGATTAACTACAGATGGAAACCTATGGTAGACCTCTGCAGCTAAGGAGAATAAAGTAGGGGAAATCCCAGATTGGGATTAAAGTGCTAGGAATTACTTGTGAATGGAGCTGGAATACTGAGCGTGCCACCTGACCCAAATCAACCAATGAGCTTCAGTGACTGTATATGAACCTGAACCCAGGATTCATCAGAACTGATCCAACATATTAATTATAGCAATCGGAATTTTTCATTCAGTTGTTGTTTTCTGAGACGTCTCAGGTAGTATAATCTCTGCTGGGCCCTTTTGACCAATGTTGTGAGCACCCCAGGTCAGGTCCTCTATTATGGTAACAGCCAGAAACTTAAAACTGGCCACTTGCTCCACTCGGTCTCCATTGATAAGCAAGGGCTGGATGTCTGATCTGTTCCTTCTATAATCCTATAATCCATTTATTTACTACTGCAAAGAATACGCACTTTAAAAAAAATCCTGAATGTAGTTTGGGCTCATTTATTCTTCACATTAGGCAAAAATGCCACTTTTAGCATTTTCTCTCTTTTGTTTATATACTAGGATTTCCCTCCTCTCCCAAGTGTATCAGTTAAAACAATTGTTTAAAATACATTCAGACTTATCAATATTAGATTTCAAAACAGTCTATAGGTTCGGCAAAGGAGTCATTAATTGGAAACTCAACAATAAGAATGACAAAACTTCAAGCTAAGCATAAAAAAAAAAACCCAACCCTCTTTGCAGTCCTTTGAGACCCATTTCTTATTTTGGAGCTATCATTATTGAGAAGACTGGCTCCTGAAATATCTTATCAACCTTTTGTCACAACCTCAAAGTACACCAAGTGCTTGGAGTAGAAAGTGTGCAGGCCTCACCCTTAGGCAGGCATCTTCCCCTTGTTGCCCCACCAACATGTAGATGAGCTCATCTTTTTCCAGTTGGAAGTTAGCTGAGATAAAAATCCCATGGGACCGTTTGTTGTGGTTCTTGGCTCCTTTCCCTCCAGCTGCTCCGTAGGCTGAAATCCTGGAGAAGGGTAACAGCAATTAGGAAGAAACTCTACAGCTCAAAATGAGGCTCCAAGGTGGTGAACTCTTCACGGCCACAGGCCTGTCTCCAAAGAGGGGATATCCAGCTCCCCCATCTGATCCCCAGGCTAACTGCCAAGCCCATTTTACTTGTGCCAGCAGAGAAGAAGAAACTTTCTGACAGTGAGAACAATCAACCAATGGAACACCTTGCCCTCAGAAGTTCTGGGAGCGCCATGACTTGAGACTTTCAAGAAGAGATTGGACTGCCATCTGTCAGACGTGGTGTAGGGTCTTCCGTTTGGGTGGAGGGGTGGACTAGATGCCCAGAAGGTCCCTTCCAACTCTGATTATCTATTATCTGTTATCTGAAGGCCTTCTTAGGATCCCGTTGGTCAAAGAACTCCAAATAGCAGGATCCAGGGGAAGAGTCTTCTCTGCTATAGCGCCTACATTTTGTGGAACATTTTATCCTCTGAAATCTGCCCCCACCTTCCTATCTTTCTGCAAGAGTCTGAAGACCTGGCTCTGCCAGTTGGACCAGATGGGGGGAGTTCCACACTGGAGGTGGCTGCTAGATTGATGGCAGATTCAACTCCCTTTGTTCTCTGCTCTCCACTCATTTGTCTTTTTTGTTATCATATTGATGCATTCTCATTGCGTTCCTTTGCCACTGTTTACTTTATTGTTCTATTATTTTAATTCTTTTTGCACGCCTTTTCATTAATTAAGCTGCCTAGAGTTGCTCCACGGTGAGATAGGTGGCAATTTAACAAAATAATAAACAGACAAACAAACAAACATCCAGCCCATCTTTAATGTGATGGATGGAGTATATGCCACTACGGTTGTTGACCCTTAGCAACTGCGTAGTTATGCAGGTCATAACTATGAAAAACAATCATAAGTCACTTTTTCAGTTGTAACTTTGGTCACTAAATGAACTGTTGTAAATCGAGGACTACTTAGTATTCTTATTTCCTCACCTCATCACACTGATACTCACGTATAGCGGTTTGATACTGGCACTTTCCAGATTTGTACCCCTTGTAGATGTCCCTCTTTTCCCACCGTCACTGACATATTGGTGTCTTGATAAGCACTATCGCACTGTGCTTGTGTTGGTCCACGAGGCCCACTAGCCCCACAGGTGGCAAACCACCAGAGATTAACAGGTGTTTCCCCTATTGTTAGAAAAACATTCAGAGCTGTGATTAGCATGTCAACTTCACTTTCTTTCTCAAAAAAAAAGTGTTATTATCTGCCCAGGTCCAGCTTTTGATTTCTTACTAGTTGTTCGTTCGTTAAATTTACTGGCCCATTTTATAATTCTGGATGGTGTACAATTTTACAACTATACAATATGTGTGTTTGTGTGTGCATGTTTTCTTAAGTTTTCAGATGTCAGACAAACACAATACAGAAGCCTGATGATGGCAGATGAGATTCTGCCGAAACGTTGCTACAACTTTAAAAGTACAACTACAATGATACATATATGAAATTTTGAGTACTTTGGAAAACCGGTAGCGGAAATTTTGAGTAGTTCAGAATACCACCTCACTGGCCCCGCCCCCATCTATTCTCTGCCTTCCAAGTCCCAGCTGATCGGTGGGTCTTCTTTTGTTGCCCTGTACAGGAGAATGGTTAGTGGGGTGGGGAGAGAATGGGGATTTTGCAGCATCTTTCTCTTGGAGTGGGGTGGGAATGGAGATTTTACAATATCCTTCCCCTGCCATGCCCTCCAAGCCATGCTCAACAAGCCACACCATGCTCACCAAGCCATGCCCACAGAACCAGTAGTAAAAAAATTTGAATCCCACCACTGGTATGTATGTATATATGTATGTATATAAAAATACTGTAAAAAACTTTTATACAGTAGTAAGAAACTTCCAGACAATATAGCAACAACCACATTTCCTACTAAGTCCTTTCCCCTCTGGGGGATGTTTTACTAATAGTTTCTCATTTCTAGCATTAACTATCTCAGTGACAGAGTGTGTACATCTTTATGTGTTACTGTACCTTTCACTGTAAAAATGCCTTCCAAATAAACCACATGTATGAGTGTGCAACTCTATTTTCTCCTACCGAAAAGTTTTCAGCAGCTATCAGATCACAAGATATAGCCTTTCAGTGGTTTTAATGGCTCTATCACTTATGGCAATGAAGCAGCACTGGACATTATGAGGAGCTTTGGATCAGAACTGCTTTTTTTCTTGCTCCACTTAAAGCTCTCTTTTATTTCGTTTCCAGTGAAATTTTAGCCAGAATGGCTCCCTTAAGAAGGCATTGGATATCATGTAAGATTCTGAATTTGCTGATGTGCAAGCTAGTTAAAAAATAAATATATGTTTTGGATCTTCAGCAAAAGTGACTTTATGGTAGCAGCTTTGTTGAGCATGATCAAATAAAAAAACGGAAAGGTGGTAGAATCCTAATAAAAATCTATCAATTTCTACTTTGTGGGTTTCACCATAATAAATTAAAAACAAGAAAGAAAATATTGCTTACATTGGTTATTTTTGAACCAAAACAACAACTGGAACTACTTTGAGAAATATATGTATTTCAGTAGCCATCTCATTGGGAGGACACAACTATAAACTGCATTTCATACCACTTCTTTTTAACAAAATTAAGTCATTGATATAAAAAAGTAATAAGCATTATTCAAACATGACATAATTCAATTCATATAGGTCAATAATAAATTTGGAAAAGAAACAACAGAGGGATATGTGACCTCTGATCCACACTGAAACTCAAGCAGGAATATTTAACTCTTTTGCCTTAATTTTATCATATTTTATTTATATCTTAAACTATTGCATTCTATTCCAATTTCATTTTAGACTGTATTTTATTCCAATTTCATTTAAAATCATATTTTATTCCAATTTCATTTTAAATTGCTTTTATCAAATTTTAATTTGTTTCTGGAACTTTGCACTTTGATATGGCCCAAGGGCTAATCAATAAATAGAAAACTTTTTTGCCTTGTATTATGGTTCCAATTCAGGGACCACAGTCAGACTCCTGAAAATTTTTCTGCTATTCACGTTTGTAAAAGAAATATTGTAACTTTCTTGCTCCATAAGTACAAAAAGTTATACATTCGAAGGGAGAATTAGAATTACAGTAGGCCTATTCTTTACAATTCTACCCACATATTACCCACAAGACTACTTATGCCAAGGAAATACAGGAAATACGGCTGAAAATTAGAAAATATTAATTCAAGAATTATCCTATTCTTTCTGTCTAAAGGATCGAAATAGTTCCTGTAGTTTTCTATAACTGCAATGTTATTCAAAAGCTGCTTTATTTCCGATGCCTAGATTTAGCCTTATGTCAGTAATTATGCCGGATTTAGCTTTATGAGAATAATAAGTTCACTATGAGAAGAAATCTTAGCAATAAATTACTTATAAATGAATATTACAAATGGATACACAGTGATAGTTACCTAAAAGAAGGGGCTCTTCCAAAGGATTAAAAAGACGCTCATCTAATCTATCCATTGCCGGTGAGTAGTGCTGATCTCCATCAGTGTGGCTTTGTTTTCTTCCTGCCAGGATTTGCGAATGAGTGAAATGAAAAGACAGAAGAAGAAAGGGTTTGGATTAAAAAGAAAGAAAAAACAGGTTCCTTTTCTGAACCAAATTCAAATAATAAGGGTTTTCTCACTATCTCAGTCATAATGCAACTATGTTCCTAGACTTACTGATAATTGCTTAGGCAAGTGAACTTCTGGGATTCTATAGTCAGTATATAGCAATAGCATTTATATACCACTTCATAGTGTTCAGGAAGGTTGAGTCGACTTTGAGCTGGCCAAGATATCAATGTATGATGTTAATACTTCTCATTACATCTAATTTGTATCACTGGATGAGAGTTTTGCTTGCAATTTTTTTAAAGAGTATACACCAGGGGTCTTCAAATTTGACAGCTTCAAGACTTGTGGACTTCAACTCCCAGAACTCCTCCTCCAGTGATGTTAACTCAGGAATTCTGGGAGTTGAAGTCCACAAGTCTTAAACTTGCCAAGTTTGAAGATCCTTGGTCTACACTCTTGAATTTGAAGGCCAATTTGAATATGGCTGGTTCTTATAAGCTAATTATTTCATACAGACAGCAAGGCATAGCTTCTTTCATTCCCCTTCCCCTTTGAATAGTAACAGAGAATTTGTTAAAGCTTTACCTACATTTTTTTCACATTTTACCTCCCTAGCCTCTGTATAGCTAAGTTCCCACTTACGCTTCATCATCTTTACTTTTAGTTTACTGTTACTATTCAACAATTATATTAAATGTCAAGTACTGCTGTGTTCCACTGCACTAACCTAGCATCTTATAGATTAGATCAGGAGTTTGACTGTGGCCCACGGGCTGGATGCATTATGTGCAGGCCACGCCCACCCCAAGCTCCACAAAGATCTGTCACATGATGGCAATGTGACACGGCAAGTTTGAAACCTGTGGATTAGATCAAAGGATGGTCTCCAGTTCTTTTTGTGACCTTACCTGATTAAATTTTGAAGTTGCTGGAGGTGGGCCAAATTACATTTCACCTTTATACAAGCTATCAGTTGATAGGTTCAGGCAAGGTAAAATCCCACCATCAAGTCAAAAGCTATCTGTGTCAAAATATGGACACTGCTGGAAAGAAATAAGGATGCTTCTCTCCAAACTGGTCTCAGACCAAATGGGTTGCTAGTCATAGAAAAGAAAGCATTGGCAGCAACCTGTGCAGTTGCTATCTAGGGCACATCATGGCTGACTTGATGTTAACAGAATAGAATAGCATCTGTTAACAGAAGAAATTAAGAAGAAGAAATTAAGCCAAATTGTAGCAGCTGCTTACTGCTCATGCACAGCCCCTACAGAGGAGATTTTCAGCAGCAAAGCTTATAAGATAAAGAGTAATGTAGAAGTATTATAAGTTGAAGTGGGAAGTAGCAAACAATGCATTTTCTAATCAACAGATTCTGGACCCAGAATTTTAATCAGGGACCTACATTAAGCAATAGAAAAAAGCATTGATTATCAAAGAAGAAGAGGGCCTGCTAATCAAAACTGCATTTTCACAAGCCGTAGCAGTAAAACATCATTCAACTCCTTAGCCACTCCTTCTGACTCATACAAACCACAAAACATTTTCTGTAATGAAAGGAGATGAATTAAATAGCTGGAACGGACGAGGAAATGAATATTTCCATCTTAGCAAAAAGAAAATTAAGCTTTCTCCCAGCTCTCTTTCCTCTCTTCCTGTTCCTTCCACTTCCTTCCTCCAAATCTTCAGACTTCAGACTCTGCCTGATTAATCAATTGGAACTGTCAGGGATCTCCAAAATCTCTCTTGGAAAAGGAGGATGTAATTTTATTACAGAAAGCTGCTGGGTTTCTCCAAAATGTAATTGAATTAGAAGAGATGAATAAACGGCCTTCTTCTCTGAAGGAAAACAATACAGCTCATAGAAATTCAGGGAGCATCAGTGAACCTGAATGTTTTTTAGAATATCATCTTATCGATGTATTCTGGTATATTTAAAATAAACACGCTGTCTTACTTGTACAGCAGCCTTTTCTAATCAGATGTATGCCAATCAGGTGGATCTATAGTGAGATATTATATCCTATCTAAGGAGAACTAAATTTAAAGTTGAAAGAAAGATTGGAGTTGGAAGGGCATATTTGACATTAATAACGGAAAATATTTGTAGCTCAGGGTTGAAATGAAGGGTCCTTGGTCCTCTCTGAGGTTGGTTGTTTTCTTGCAGATGTTTCATTACCCAAACTAGGTAACATCATCACTGCTCATTGATGAGGTTACCTTGTTTGGGTAATGAAATATCTGGAGGAAAACAACCAAGCTTAGAGAGGACCAAGGACCTCCCATATTTGATATTAGTTCACTATTTAGATTTAAAAGAAAGGTTTAACTGGACAAGAAAAACCATGTTACAAATACCAAGTTTAAAATTGTGTTGTGTGGCAATGAGGGACATTTATTGCTAAGATTTATAAACTGTTGTTGACACTGAATTTCAAAAATGAATATGTTAAACATTGTATGAACCAATGGGCAAAGAATTGGATTTTTTTTTAATAAGACGACACATTGTTTGTATTTAACATCTGAGAAATTGTGAAAAATGTATATTGGAAATGCAACTGCTAAGGAGAACACTTTTTATCATCTCTGATAGATTTATGACAAAAAATACTGGGACCAGATTTTTTGTTTAATTCAGAGGATTCTTAAAATAAATATAAAATTGAATATGTTGACAGCAGTGAGAATCTTATATGTACAAAAATATAAAAACACACTAATTCCCACAGTGGATGAATTGAACTGAAATGTTATTAAATGTAAAATAAAATATTGAAGTTGTATATATTTTTTCTTTTGTAAAATACTTGGAGATAATTGCATCCCCCCCCTCTCTTATTTTCCTTAATTTTATAACTTCTGTGTATTTTTGTATGTTTATAATGTAATTTATAATAAAATTAAAAACCCAGCAGCCTGTTTATATTCCACTCTTTTTTTTCTTTTCACTGTAGAGTTGCTTCTTGCACAGAAAAAGGGGAGAAATTCCAAAGGTTGGGAAGAATTGAAGATTGTGCCCACTGCACAGAATAACTTTTACAGTATTTCCTTGGTTCAAATTCAGCTTCTTGTGCAGTGCAAACACAGGGTGGAGATTTGGGGAGGTCTTACATGCAGAAGGATCAGGAAGTACAGCAGTAAGGCAGAAGAGATGTCTCTAGTGGGCTAGGGTTATGGAGTCCATTTTTCATGGTATGGGGGAATTCCCTTCCCCTTTTCTCTGACAGTACTACCACCATTTCCTACCAAATTATCATTCAATAGGTTGCCCCAAGAAGGTGAAGCAACTGGACTTCAGTTTTCCTTGAAGACATTTTGCTTGTCATCCAAGAAGCTTCTTCAGTTCTGAGAAGTGAAACGTCTTCAAAGAAAAGTTCAGTTGACTTTTGGAAAAAAAAACAAAACACCTTTGGTACAACCATGACTTGGATGACTGAGAATCTCCATAGACATTCAATAGATTGCTGCCATATTTCAGTGGTACATAATGTTGGCATGCACTAGTATGAATATACATTATTTTGCTAATTAAAATATTACCACAGAAGAGACATTCTGATTTCAAGAGGAAAAAAATGGGGTTGCTATTTAATACTTTTTATTGTGGCAAGTATCTCCAATGACATTTCACATATGTTAGATTTAGAAAAGGCTTATGGGGAAAAAGTTCTATGTAGCAGTAATAATTGCTTGCTGTTATACCCTCAGAACATAGCACTTCCTTAATTAAAAATAACTCACCGTTAGAGAGGCAATCCAGACCAAAAGTCATGTTGTCCACAGCAATATCAGCTTGTGAATTCCAACCCCAATTAGCGAGGAGCTCCAGATGAAAGCTTTTGTTTTTTTTAACAAAACATATTGGGAGAGCAAAAGAAGAGGTATTTTAAAAAAAATTAACCTACAGAATAGAAGTCAATGAATAAATATGTAAACGAACAATTTCAAAAAATGCATAAGGACGATAACTAAAGCAGGAGGTGTAAAAAAATGATAAGGGTGCTCCTTTGTGCATTTTATAGTTCCATGAAAACAAATAGATTGAGTTTTTGAAATAAACCTGCCAAAATTGTCTGTTACAACAGAACCAATTAAGAGTCATGTGGCATTTTAAGGACTAACATCTTAAAATTGTAAGCCGCCCAGAGTTACCCTGTGGTAACATGGGCCGCCAATAAATTTTACAAATAATATTAACAATACAATAATTATTATGGAAGCTGATGGTAATCTGTGTGGATTGCATATTTTAGAATTCCTAGCTAGTGTATCCCTTTAAATATTAAACAGGATTGTGCCCTATTAGGGGATGTATTTAGCTGCTATGGCTATAAAGCCACGTTTTCCATTAAAAAAAAAAACAGCTTTCCTGTTAGTTGATTTGTGCTATGAAAGGCGGGCCCCCAAGTCTGGTATCCCAGCTGTCCAACTTAAATAACAATTATATGACTTCTAAATTTTAATTAACATGGATTCAGAGGTGATCTGGACTATGTCACATATGAGGTCAAACTCCTCAAACCCTCTCTTCCTAGATAGGATGATTGCAGTACATATTTTGGGGAATTGAGAGAAACCAGGAAGTCAACACTAAGGCAGAAAGAAATGAGACTAGACTAGACTAGACTAGACTAGAGTGGCCTAGACTAGACTAGACTAGACTAGACTAGACTAGAATAGACTAGAATAGAATAGAATAGAATAGAATAGAATAGAATAGAATAGAATAGAATA